TCTTGCTAAATTATTGTTACTGCTTTTTTTTTGGTTATCGAGGCAGCCCTATATTTGTCTCGCACCGTGACTTTTATATACGGTGTGCTTGTTGTTATCCAAGGAACTTGGAAAGGTTTAAGGAGCACAACACTTGAGACAGTTTCGATTTATTTTAATGCAACTTGTCTTGAGAAAAAAACATTTCTTTGCACGCGTCCAATATGCCGTTCACGGGAGGCGTAATGATGCCACACCCGTCCTCCCATTGGCGATTTTGTGCGTGGTCACGATTGAGGTGTTGGAGTTCAAGAATCGATTCTGTTTTGTTCACATTGCGACGGATGTAGCGGCCGCTAGTGGACTGCAGGGGTCACGTGAGCCCATATCGTACAACATAAATAGAAAAATGTGCACATGCAATTTTATGCACGCATTGCTGTGGCGATATGTAACTACCTCGCCTGGTTTACAGGATGTCGTGGGTTCGAACCCGACCCTGATACATGCTGTATATTTGGAGTTTGCACGTTCTCCCCGTGATTGTGTGGATTTTTGTTTAGTTTTAAGAATCGTTGTGGCTCGATTAGTCAAACTTTGTTCCACCATTTACACCAACACATTCCTGCAGAGGGAGCTGGTAGGAACGTTGGGTTGCTCGGTCAATGGCCAGGGTCAACGGCGGCGTGGTGTATTTCGCAAATATGTCCTACTGTGAGGGCGGGCACAAGCCTGCGTGAGTAGGTTAGACGTTGAGTTTTATAAGGGCACCACGGGGTGAGCAGCCCCTCCCCACCCAGCCCCACCCCTCCCACCCAGCCCCTCCCCACCCAGCCCCACCCCTCCCACCCAGCCCCTCCCCACCCAGCCTCTCCCCACCCTTCCCTCCCCACCCAGCCCCTTTCCACCCTCCCCACCCAGCCCCTCCCTCCCCACCAAGCCCCTCCCTGCACGACGGACGGACACAATAATCCCCTGTGGGCTGGTGTAACCAGGGGGATCCTACCAGTATTATTGTTTCAGTACCCAGTTATGAATATACAATGTACATTATCAAAATGTACATTTAATCTAACATGGAACAATCGTTTGTCTGGGCTTTTTTCTTACATTTCCCTGCCACGTGACGGATCTTTCATTAATAAATAATGGCCAGTCTGTGTTTGGACACATCTTCGTAGGATATTCCCTCAACTACGTTTCCCCTTCATGCTGCCACTTTGTTCGTGGAACATTGTTTCCACTTGTTTGGCTAACAAAACTTTTAATTACCGTTTTTAAATATTAATAACGAAGTAAGAGGTTTCTGCCTATTATTCTTGAGAGAGAGAGAAAAAGTACCTGAGGTGAACATTACGATGTTTAATGAGTTTGCTATGTTGGGTTATAATTCGTTATTTAGTTTTACTTACATTTCCTGCAAACTGCCGTACGATGCTTGGCCTTATAATGCATAACCCCGTGACATTATTTAACAGATTGGCCGGCCAGATATGAAAGCAGAGGATCAAACTGACCCATTGCAAGCAATCGATGGATACAATTTCTCTGGAATAATAGCTGAATTATGAATGTAATGAAGCAATTCATTCCTTACCATCTGGGCATTTTATATGAGCCACATTGTGAGGTTACCATTTTTTTTTATAACTGCTCGATAACATCATCCTCTTTAAGTTGTCATAAAAAGCACCTTAGAGCAATGCCCATGGCAGCCTCTTTCCAGCTTTTATGATAGCCACCTGTCTGCAGTGATGGTGTATTTTCAATTTTGCTGCTATTGAAACCTTTGATAACACTTGCTGTACAAGGGGACTGCTGCCCTTCCTGGCATTATGTTCTGACTGCAAGCTGCCCAGTACAGAACGGTGTGCAGTGCAGCAGAAAAGCGGCCAATTCAGGGTTCCCATTTTCCTGGGAAAATTGAAAAGAGATACGATACATATACAGCGGTATTGGGTGGGGAGAAGGGAGGTGGGGTCGGTATCCAGTGTTGTAAATTGGCACATTACAGGCAGTAATTTGAAAGTGCTATTCAGTGAAATGGCAAACAATCGTGTTCCGTGTACTCATGTCTTTTTATTTTGTGAGATTTTTTTTTCCTCTCTGGGCACTTGATTATTCAGTCCTTAAATAGCGAGCCTTGAACGTGTTCTCATGCTGCTGTTGGAATCGCCAAACAAAGGTGTAAGTGCCTTTTGGATAAAAAGTGGATGTGTGCTCGTGGATTTAATTCAAGCTTCAAGCCACATGCACAGCCAAATCAGCCCATTGTCCATCTAGGAATCTTGAGCACGACTTGTGATGATCGCGTGGAATGTGTTTCCATGGGTTCTATTATCTTAGCATTTCTCAGCAGGAGCAAAAATGTCCACACCTTTAGTGGACGGAAGGGCAGGGTTATTCTTTTTAAGACACTGACCATCCCGCGAGTGTGATAATACGCCCAAATTTTGTTTCACATATAACGTTGTTGCTATTTTGAACGTATTCTGGCAAAAATACCCAATCACATTCTGCTGTAATGGTTTGTGTAAGGCACAGCGAATAGATTTCGTCCTGCAGCATGACCCGTGTTCACGTGGACATCCCGTTGTGCAAACCTCTGTGACATTTTGTGTAAAAAAAAAGATGAACACTAAACAGAATGCTCTTGCCTGTTGAAGGCCACACACTAATTCGTGGAAAATAAAATAGCAGCTTTAAAGAGGCTTTTAAATGCCCTGTGTGTCAGCTTTCAGACCCACAGGAACATGTACTTATCGCATCAGCCTTCCTGTCAATACCATGCCATCAAAATTTCTTTGCAATTGCAGTATTCTTTTTTATTTGTCCTATTGTTACTGATTGGCAGAGGTAAAATATTATTTTTTCTCCTGATGACAATTGCTTGTGTTGCGATTGGAACGTCATCATATTTGTATTCTTTTTTATTCACTTTATTTTCATTCAGATTTTTTTTCTATCTACGTGACTTTACCGAAAGACCCAAACAATAAGAATTCCTGCAGTCACGAAAGCTTTAAGTCAAGTTTTAATTCCACGTCTTTCAAGGCCCCCTATGGTATTGTGTATTTTCTACTAAGTCGGTTTGTGAATAGAACACAAAATAAATAATTGAATTTACTTAATTCGTTTTGGACTGCCACTCTAGGTCTGAGCACAATCATTTGTCGTAAGTAATACTTACTCCACTTGACTTTAAGTTTCTACAGCTCCCTCTGAATTGCCAATGAGCGCCCTCTTTTCTTTAAATGTATTGGAGTGCATGTCATGTGTCCGCACACGAGATATCATATTGAAATGTCAAACTGAGATGTGTCATATTTGAGACGTGTCATATTGAGACGTGTCATATAGAGATGTCAAATTGAGATGTCATCTTGAGATGTCAAATTGAGATGTCATCTTGACAATCTCCTTCAAAACATTCCGCATGTTCTCTGCAGTCATCGATGGGGAGACAGAGAAAGGTACCAACCTCGATGTTTCTGCCAAAGCTGATAGAGCAGCAGCAAGTTAAATATCTTTTATAATTTACAGGCTTTTGTCAATCCACTGCCAGACAATGGCCTTCCCATGTTGTGTCAGCCCATGGGAGTTGTTTGACTTTACTTCACTATTACGGGTTGGTGAAGGGGAGGGGGGGGAGCTCTGGACTGATTTGGTTAGCACACTGCACGAGGAACCCGGTGACCTTCGTTAAATTCCCAGCTCTGGCTGACATTTGTGACGAGTGATATGTGAACCAGTCCTGGGCCATCAACCCACATTTGGCAGCGTGTTGAAGTATAGTCCAGACCAATCCTCATTCCTGACATTAAAACAAAACTTTTTTTTCCAGGCAAGGCCCCAATGAGTGATGTAGTAATTTTTTTAGAAGCGACCTGGCCACAAATTATAGAATCAGGAGGGCTTCATCGGGTGCATAGGTGCTGAGATGTGAACTACCTCGCCTGGTATACAGGAGGTCGTGGGTTCTATCCCGACCCTAACGCCTGCATATTTGGAGTTTGCATGTTCTCCCCATGGTCGAGTGGATTTTTCTCTGGTTTTTCTCTCCACCCATTTCGAATCAACATGCATGTTTAGAGCATTTGGCTGCTATAAATTTCCACACGATAAGCCACTTAATTGAGCTATCATTTGCGGGTAGCCAGGTCGCTTCTGAAAAAGAGCTGTACAGCTCAGTGGTGCCTTACCTGATAAAATAGAAAATATTCTTGGTTATTTCGGTAAAGTCACGTGACTTTACCAAAAGAACCAATAATATGAATCCCTGCAGTCACGAAAGCTTTAAATCAAAATTAGAAAATTTATTTTTTTCACCCGGCAGTGGATTGAAAAGTGCATTTAAATTATTCTTATTACAGTAGAAACAAAAAGCTTGGCATTAATGTAATGGCTGTGGTGAGGTCGGGGCTGTCACACGACACTTGCACTACACAGGCACCGAGTCTGCTGTGGTTTGGTCAAGATGGCCTTATGCTCGTGCAACAACAAGAGGCCATTTATGTTTGTGGCGCCGGCCCTTGCTTTTGTCTGCGCAGCACGGCAACGGGTGCACCGCAGGATACGTTACTGATGGATTGTGTGCGGTGGGGTAAAATGTGGGTACCCTCCCCACATTTCATGAACCCATATTAGCAGTATGAAGGGGTTGGTGACACTAATCATCCTTCAAAACAGCAAGGTTCCTTCGCATACATTGACCTGCGCAAGGCAATACATCTTCTCCCTGCAGGTTCCGGACTCTTTAAGTTTGGCTACTTAACATTTGTATTGCTTTTCCATGCTGCGATATTAAGTGCTTTCATAACATACACGATGGCTATAAAACAATTCCAGTTTCGATGAATACAAGGACACAAGTCTCTTTGCTTCGTTGAATGGGTTTCAATCTTCTGTAATGGAATAATTTAAGCCGACATGAAAACGCTCTTAAGCTTTTGTTAATTTTTGTAATTTATCGTAGAATTTAACAGACGCTGTTTCTGTGTGTGTGTTTTTTTTCACCCCAGACAATGACGGAGAGCTTAAGTCGACTGTTACAACACACACTTCACCAGGTAGGAATACCACTTTAACTAAATAATAATCCACGTTAATTTACTACCCATTTGTGAATTATGTGTTCACGTTATATCCAGCCGTTGCATGCGGCCAAGGCAATCAAGATGAGCTACAAAACGCTCAAATGCAATCATCAGCTGGAGCGTTTCCAGTCAGTGTTTATCTTGAGAATATTAACACTAATCACTTATATCTTTAAAAAAAGAATACCACTTCTCTTTGTCAGTCCACTGCTGGATGAACGCCTTCGCATGCCGTCTCGTCATGGGGGTTGTTTGAACATCCATCACCACGCTGGTCAGTGGGGGTTGGTCAAGTGGTGGGTGGTGGGGGGGATTTGGGGGGGCGAGGGGGCTGAACCAGCTCAGATATCCCCCCCCCCCCCTCCTTCCCCACTGATGATGTTGCTGATGATAACCATGGCCAGGAATCGAGCTCAGGTCACTTGAGTTCAGAGCGCAGTGTGACGACCGAGGTGCCGTAGCTCCGATTAGCACGGTTGGCTACGTGCGGTGCGGAAGAAGTTGAACGTACATACTTGCCAACATTTAACTGAATTAGTGTTGTGGTACTCAAACAGGCCGTGTTATGATTGTTGTCATTTAAATTGCCATTTCAACGCACACAGGATGAGCCTGTGAGAAATGTAATTAGCAAGCTTATAAACCACAGAGATTAAACAAACCCCACATTGTTTACTTTTTTAAAATTAAGTTGCTGTTCACATTCTAGATTTGAAGCTTTCGTGACTGCAAGGATTCATACTCTTGGTACTTTCGGTAAAGTCACGTAGGTAAAAAATGAAATTGAAATTAATAAAAAATAAAATAAAAATCACGACGTTTCGGAGGCAACACAAGTCTCCGTCATCAGGTGGGACCGTCACAGCCAGAGTTGCTGCATCAAGTGAGGCAGGGATTCAAGATGCAAGCTCTTAAATACAAGTTAAGGGGGAGGAGAGGGGGGGGAGCTTATCAGAATGTGGTATCCAATGAATGGAACGTATCGGGAGGGGGGGGGGCGGGGCTGTTCACAATACAATTGATACAATTAAGTGTAATAGCAGGGCCGTAGCGGCTTGAGGACCTCGATATCAGAGCGATGAGTGATACTGGTAGGAACCCACTGGTTACACCAGCCCACAGGGGATTATTGTGTCCGTCCGTCGTGTGGGGAGGGGAGGGTGGGGAGGGGCTGGGTGGGGAGGGGCTGGGTGGGGAGGGGCTGGGTGGGGAGAATGGGGCTGGGTGTGGAGGGGCTGGTCACCCCGTGGTGCCCTTATACAACTCAACGTTTAACCTACTCACGCCGGCTTGTGCCCGCCCCCACAGTCGGGCATATTTGCGGAATACACCACGCCGCCGTTGACCCTGGCCATTGACCGAGCAACCCAACGTTCCTACCAGCTCCCTCCGCAGGAATGTGTTATTTAAACCGACTCCTGGAGCTACCCCTTCACTAACCTTCACTGACTATCATGGTGAAGTACGGTCCAACATACCCCCATGACTGACACAGTTACGCGGTGGGGGGGGGGGTGTGCAGAGGACAGACCTTAATCCAGCATTGGGTTGACAAAACACTGTAACATGTTTAATTGTTAATGAAACATTGAAGGGGAATCTGATCTGAGAATAGTGTAGCACAATGTACAAATTCATCACATTCAGGGGGGTTATCAGGAAAATATTCTTTGTAGTCGTACACGCATTTAGTATCCATATACTGCAGTGAACTTAGCGGCACGGCGCTTCGTCAATGCTCTGCTTGATGAAGACATCGTCAGGGTTGGTCCTGTACGCCCACTCCCCTGGTCAGCTCGCTGATTGTTGAAGGTGGAGAGCGTAGACATGGGAGCATGGAAGTAGAGTACAACAATGGATTTTGATGCACTGCTCTCTGCTGCTCATGATGTATCCTCACACCCTACAACACCACTTGTGGATGGTAGTTGCCCATCCAAGCACTTTCCAGGCCTAAGCCCTTGCTTAACTTGGAATATCTGACCAGATTGGCCGCATTATCAGAAATTTTACCAAATTTTACCATTGGCCGAAGTGCTCTCTATATGGCTCGTTGTGCATGTATATACATATGTATAGGCCGCCATACTGATACAAGTTGTACTCTAGTCAGATTGGTTTAGAAGTTCTACAGTTATGTTTGAATGCTATTGCAGAATAAATACATCAAAGGTGAGCCCAGCGTTACCATATCGAATTTTTTTATTTACATTTGTGAGTATTGACAACCGTTTGGATTTCTCGTAAAGAAATGATTTCCTGTCGCCCATTTTTACACGCTTTTATTTAACTCACTCTGTCTGTTGTTGTTGTCGTATCCTCAAATATTGTAACTCAATTTTAACCCACTTCCCAATGTGGTATCGACTGCAAACTTGGTATACTTATGTCTTACTGATGACAATAATATATTCCATCATAAAAAAAAATATTTTTTTACACGTTTTCTATTAACTCTGTTGTTGTTGTCGTATCCTCAAATCTTGTAACTCAATTTTAACACACTTCCCAATGTGGTATCGACTGCAAACTTGGTATACTTATGTCGTACTGATGACAATACTATATTCTATCATACAAAATCTTGTTTAACCATCTTTTTTACATGTAATGTTTCGCCTTGGGTCTAATTGTCCACGCTCAACTGACGTTGGCTGTAAATCACCACGGTCCCTTCCGTTGTGGCAAGCTTCGAGGCCACTTCCTGGAGTCGTGGAGTTTTGCCATTACTCGTACGGTACATTTCATTAAAGCGTGTTTAAAAAAAAGTATTTGTAAATACAGTAAAACCTTGGATTGCGAGTAACTTGGTCTGCGAGTGTTTTGCAAGACGAGCAAATTTTTTAAATAAATATTAATTTGATAAACGAGGTCTTGCAATACGAGTAGTGCGTGTATACGCTTTGTCTGCCGAGCGTCACGTGATCACAGCTGATATACGAGTGCTTTGGATTACAAACACGTTTCCGGAACGAATTATGCTCGCAATCCAAGGTTTTACTGTACTACTTATTAAGAATTCGTACGTACGCACACCGGAAACACGCTCGCTCTCGTGAAAGTGGACAATTACGAGAAAAGCGATTTAACGGCACGCACAATGAAACTCCGTGGCTGCTCTCTGTCCATCTTCTTGGCTCTTTCGGTAAAGTCACGTGACTTTACCGAAAGAACCAAGAAAGTCACGTGACTTTACCGAAATAACCAAGAAGATGAATCCCTGCAGTCACGAAAGCTTTAAATCGAAATTAATGGTCTCTGTCCGTTGTTTTCCATTGCTCACGAGGGCTTTTTGACAGTCTCCTATTAACAATCACGAACAATTGACATTTGTAAGGCGCATTTCATCCAAGGATCCCAACCCTTCCTCAATTTTGCACTTATTATTATTTTTCGTCATATTCGTGTTTGTTTTTGTTTGCCACGTCATCTATCGGCAGAGAAAGTCACGTGTCTGGCACGGAGGCGCGGGGCTCTTTGCGTGACCACACCTGGCAGATTTCTGGAGAGCCCCTCGGCACAGTCCCTCGTCCTCCCCCATCCTTCCTTAGCCCCCCCCCCCTTTCTCATGCTAATCCAGAGGTCAGGAGGGGAGAGGGTTCCCACGTAAACTTGAATGTCCGCCTTGAAAAGCCCTCCCATTGTCCGGCTTGCCCGGGGTGAGAGGGTGGGAGAGAGGTGTGGGTGGGGGGTGGGGGGTGGGGGGTGGGCAAGGCGGCATGGAGGGGAGGGGAGGGTACGACCTGTGGCTGAAGTTAGAGACCCCCACTCACCCCATCCCGCCTCGGTTGGGCGTGGTGAGTTTAAAGCTGCCAGGCTCCGCTGCGTGTGGTGCGCAGGGAGGACGGACCGCGCCTCCCGCGTGTGTTATAAGTCACCCGGCTGTCCCATATGCCGCGGTGGGGATGAAGTAGACGGGGGCACAGCTGATTGGCCGTTGCAACGGTGTTTGGCTGCCCATATGCTTTGGATGCATTTGTTCGGGTGGGGGGAGGTTCTTTTGTTATCGCGAAGCTGCTAATTCGAATTTGCGGTCCGCGTGTCTTTTTCTTTTTGGACTCTTTGTATTGTTTGTTTGCCCGGTCGTATAATTGTATTTCACACTTGATGATCATATGTACACCGTTGATAGTGTCATATAGTACGAGTGCTGGAGTGTGCGCGAGTTTGCGCAATGTAGCGGGGAGCGGTGGCGCATGGGTTAGCGCGCTACTCTACAAACCCAGCGACCCAAGTTCCATTCCCACTCGCGATCAAGACCAGTGACGATTATCTGAACCGGTCCTGCACTTCCCTTAGGTTGACTCGGCCTCAAATGAGTACCTGGTACGGTGTGTAAACATTGCTACTGGGGAGACAAAGGTGGTCTAGCGTGGTGCTGGGTACCCATCCCCTCGTGTACTGTACCGGCCTTTGTAGGTGCTCGCTAACAGCATTTTCCCCAATAGTCTGTTAAGGCCATAGAGGTGGCTCAGTCTTTTGTTATGCAGTCTATTCTTAGTCTTAAGCCTCACCTTACCATATTAATAAAAAGTGTGCCGTACTTGGCCCTTCCCCTCTTCAACCATTATATATACGGAGTGGTAGCTCTTGTAATTTCTCATTTACTTGATACAGCTGTCGTGGCTGTGACGGTTCCACCTGAAGACGGAAGATTGTGTTGCCTCCGAAACGTCGTGATTTTTATTTTATTTTACTTTTATTAATTTAAATGTTTTACCTACGTGACTTTAACGGAAAAAACCTAAGAATATTTGTATACAGTGTGTAAGTAATTGGCTTTTTCATTGGTTAATTCTGCTTAACAATACACTGTGATGTTAATGCACTCATCCTCATCCTGACAGGCACTCCCGTATGCCCTGTATATATTTTTGTCCACATTGGTTACATTTGTCAAAAAATATAAATCTCGAATGCACAAATGGCCGTTGATGAAAATGCCATCACGACGACGCGCTGTTATTTATTTA